TTATTTTAAATTCAACTAAAGAGTTACAGTTGATATTTATCGCCACACAATTTGTCAAAAACTGCTTGATATAGCCTAGAACAGCTTGTACTCATACTTCATTCAGTTTATCAAAAAACGTCAACGCTTCAAAGAAACAATGTTTGAAACAAAGTTTCTTTTTACCCAGCTGTAAATGCGAGTCTAAATTAAAAACCACAAAGCACTAAAAAAAAAATAAACCAATCAGACAGCATTATTTTTTCTTGATGAAGTCAATTGTAGAAAAAAGTACAGCTGTAACGTTTTTATGCTCTTTAGAGAAAGAAAACGCCGTTAATTTTGTTTTTTTTACACAAAAATTTTGAAAACAACCTAAAATCCATCAAAGTTTGTCCTCAGCAAGAATGCGAAACCAAAAGACAGAGCAAGATGGATTTGTTTCAAAATCTGAAAAAGTAAGCTTTAGTATATTGGCGTTGTAGCAACTACCCAATTTGTCATGCAAAATTTCTTCAGTGTGCATTCGCGGTTTCTCTTAAACAAATTTAGATCAGACTTATCATTTTTACTACAATTTTTGAACTTTTATCAAAAGTCGTTGTCACTTTTTATTTCCAGAGTTCAGATATTCGATCAATGTGACAAGCCCGTAAGTTTTTGCATATGAGCATATCATACGTCTCTATTTTACCAATAATTCAAAAAAATCAGGAGATCCAAAAATTGCCAGACAGATTTCAGTCAGTTTCAGAACGAGTGTCTGATAAACCTGTTTTCTAGAAAATCATAAGAAATCTTAGAAAAACTACAGTCGAAACAAAACCCATTATTTCAGGAGGAAGTACGCGAGGTGTTCTCCTTTTAGATGAAGAATCGAGAATCGAATAATTATTTTTGATGTTTAATAAAGATGAAAAAGTTGCTCAGAGTCCAGCTAATATTCATACTCCATTTTTTGTGGAGGTGCAAGACAACGTGGAAGAAGTTTTGGTGATCTTGAACAAACACTCGTGAGAAACCACGTGAGAAATTTTGTGTTTCTTCAAACCCTCAAGCTCCAACAAATTTAGCACTTTTAGACAATGAATGCTGCATGGTCGGAAATTTAAACTGTAAAGACGTGTTCTATTATCTTCGGCCCGCACATAAGACATATGTATGAGAATTTGACAATACAATTCCTAAATACAAATCCTAAAATCATCCATCTTATTTTTTCATCCTAAATTATAGTATGGAATGGTCATTTTTTCCTTTTAGATAAGACACAGCTAACAATTGTAACGATGGATAATTTTTCATTTATGGAAAGATACCCTGAGCTCAGTTTCAAGCACATGGCATCTAATCCCTCTGATAAACTTCCTCACTTAACAAAATACTATTTTGAAACTATGCTACAAGCAACGGTGGAGAATAACAAGGGATCATGATTACTTGATCGGAAAAACCTAAAATTTTGCTGATTCTTTGTGGAAAAAATATCAACCTACTCCAATTTAAGAAAAGCACATCAACAAATGGTTCCTCAAAAACAACGAAAAACTGATTTATGTGGACTTTACGTAATTTTTTGAGCAATTCTTTTTTTAAACTCTACCAGAGGAACCTAAACAGTCTTCATGATGTACATATTTCAAGTTTCATATGTAAATTTGAGTAAAAAAGTGGTTTTTGACTTGTAATTGTAAACTTTTGCAGCAAACTTGCTAAACACTGCCTCGATTTATTTACACACTTAGTATTTTGTTAGAAATTTTAGTAGGTTTCAGCATAGTTTCAGCTAGAAAGAGCGCTCAAAAATCATCTACAAATCACATAATATTGTATAAAGCTCAAATTAGATCAATTCCTATCAATTTACTCAATCTTACAAAAAAAACTCAATCTTTAGCCATAAAATCTTACAACTGACCAATCATGAACCAAATCACATAATACAAAATCTCCATTCTACACGTAATACAACAATAACCTAAACGAGTTAGATAACGCAAGCCATTATTTTTTTCCAAATCGTGAGATTTCTTTAATCTTTTCCAAAAAAAACTTTGCAACTTTCTTCAAAACTTGAGATTGTTGCACCAAAAAAATGGAACCTTACCATCTGAAAAACTGAAACCTATCCTAATAACCTGGGCATTTTTTCATTATCTTAAAACATGGAGATTTTTTCGTCAATCTGAATACATAGAGATATCTAGATGCATGGATAAATCGAGCGCCAAAATTTTTTTGAAACTTACTTTCCGAAACTCTGAAATCTATAATCTACCTTAAAAATTTGGGAATTTGTTATCTTTTTTGTAAATTACCGCTATCGTAATAAATGGGACTTTGTCCTAATATATGTAACTCGATTGCTTTACTTGCTTGAAACTCGACTAAAAAGATAAAAACTGCAAACCGGTTTTTCTCGACGCTTGGACACTTTTTCGAAACTTTCATTGTCATTACAATCCTGGCTGAAAGGGTTCCAAAATTATTCGTAATGTAACCGAAAACACATCAAAATGCAAAACTCATCCCAAAGCTCAAAGGTCGGAAGATCAAGGTTAACCGGTTGCTGTGCAAATAGCACATAACAATAACACTGTGATTGCGTAGGAAAGGAATAATTTAGACATAATTGCCAAAAGGATCCCGACTGAAAGGGCTTGAATGCGATATATCATTCAACCGATTCCGATGCTTGTTTGCGGTACCTGTTTTTAACGAGGAAAAAAACGAAAAAGTTAAAATCTACCTGAAAACAAATTGACACCACAGTTTAATGGGTCTGAATAACAAGGATACTGGTTGCTGTGCAAGTAGCACAGAACAATCGCGTTCATTGAAAATCTTTAGAACAAAAAAGTTTTCTTTTATTTCAAACTAATAAAAAGGCTCTGCAAATGAGTAGAAAATTAGTAAATTAGCCATCATTGACAAGATTTATCCTCAAAAAAAGTTAAACAAATTTACAATTTTTAACAAAAAATTTGGAACAAAAACAAAAAAAATCATCAAAATGAGTTCAAACACATTTTATCAATTGGGCAAAATCAAGTATTTTCAAGCTGAACATCAATATTTAGGACGCGAAGGTTACTAACTGCTATACTTGCTCAAAATTTGACCAAAAATTGGAAATTACAAACCTTTGGGAAAATACAAATTATGGCTGAAAGGGCTGTTATATGATTTATATGATATGTCACTCCTCGACCCATTACGATGATTAATTGGGGCACCTGATTTTGCATGCAAAAAAAACACACCCATGACAAAATTACTCCCCAGTTCAATGTTGTGTATATAGCACCAAAAAACCACATTACAAAATCGAAAAAGACATTTTCATTTTTATTTTAATTCAAATAGTGCGTTTTCTCATGAGAAAGATATGCAAATGCGTAGGAACGGAGTGAATTAGCTAAAATTGTCCTCAAAAATTAATAAAATACAAACATGAAAAAAGTCTTTAAAAAAATTTTCTTCCAATTTGTTGGCACAAAAAATGTAAAATACATTTTTAGAAAAAGTTTCTAGCAAGGTTGCGTTGAGGAAATGTTTTTCTTAAATCAAGTTTTTTTAGCCTAAATGTCAATTTTTTCATAACAAACAATACTACGGGATCAAATTACGAGATCAAACTGTGCAATGGGTAGGCCCACCGTTTTGTGAATGCATGTTTCTGGACTCCAGAGACAAATCTTTAAACATGTTCCAAAGTGTAAGTGGAGTCCGCATATAAATACTTGTAACTTCAAATTTGTCGGCAAATTTGTTTCGTCGCGGATTCCGCAGCCAGCTAATATAGCATGTTGTACTGGATTCCGTAAATGTGCGTGGATTCCGCAATTTTATGCGGGTTCCGCTCACAATTTGCAGATTCTTCTACACTTGAGGATTCCACGACAGCCTAAGTTTACTAAATATATATTTTACTATTTGTTTGTGGATTCCACAAGCTGTTTCGGATACATCAAAGCTGTATTCCACAAATTTGCCTGATTTTAGAGCGATATTAAGCAATACAGTGCTTTAGCTATTTCTTTGTGGAACCCAAAACTGCAACAATGAATTAAAAAGTAGCAAAGTTGCTGGTTCCGCGGCAAATCCGGTTTTGACATGTTGCGGAATCCACTTACAATTCACAATAAAACCGTTTGGCCTCGTGATGCGAACTTAAAAATACAAATTGGCCTTGTTGACACTGGGATATTTTTTAAAATAGTTTTAAGTGTCATTCGAATCACTACTGAAAGGGTTTGAATATGAACTATCAGTCAATCCTTTCCAATGATTATTTGCAGTACCTGATATTATGCGGAAAACAAAAGAGAAAAAAATACTAACAAAAACACCGATTACGAAGTTCTTCCCCATTTTCAAGGGTGAGAGTGCGTGTTATATTGAACAAATTATGAAAATGCATAGTAAAGTAGTTATAAAGACATAATTGACTAGAGTTGTCATTAAAAAACAATAACGAACTAAAAATTGAAGAATAAAGGTTGAAATAGTTAGTAGCTTATTTTCTACAATAACTTTAAAAAAACGGCAACGAAGCGTTGAAAAACATATTCATTAGTAAGTACACGCTTTGCTAGTTTAAATGCCAATTTTAAAAAAACGAATGCCTCTGGATCTCTTCAAACGCTCGAAAACCGACCAATAAGTCAAAACTACAAAAAAATTATTCTCAACACTGGGAAATTTTATTGAACTTGTTTCCGTTCCTCGAATCATGTCTACATCACTAGTAAACTACATCACTCAGCTCATTGCGACGATGATTTTTTTGCGGCAACAAATTATTTGCGTGGAAAACAGAAAAAAAAGAAAACATTTAAACCCGAAGACAAAGTTACTCGGAACAAAAACCAAAACTATTAACGGTGAAAAAGAATGATTCACTTTGTTGTTTTCTTAATCTGGATTTAATTAGTCAAATTTTACTTCCTTGATCGTTGTGCTACTATATCACTAAAATATCTCTAACTAGCAGCAAAACTAATATTTCAAAATGACACCTGTCTATCGGTGTGCGTTGTCCCCTCTGAGCGTTTAACTTGTTCTTGGCCATTTGTAACGCCTTTTTATCCAGTTTCTCCAACTTCTCCATTTTTTCTAATAAAATATCCACCTTTTTCTCCAACTCCTCCAGCTTCTTCGGATCATCATTTGGCACTCTCGGCTCATCTACTAAACACAATATTTACTGACAAAAAATGACAAAATTGTGTAGGCTTTTTAAATAGTGTATTAGCGAGAAGTATAAAAAAAAACAAAAGCTAAACAAACACTAAGCCAAATAATTCAGAACCATTAAAAAAAATTACCCCTCCCTCTCGCGAAACTTAGATACTACCGTTTTGAGATGCCTTTTTAGTTCGGTGAATCAGCGAAACTCGAAAAATTTGAAATGCTAATTTCCGTTTATGCTATATGAGAGAGAGCTCTTGCATCGACAGTTTGATTTTCGTTTGCGTCATGAAAATTGATTGCCATACAGTTTTTTATGATGATTCAATTCTCCACAAAAGAAAGGACCAACATAAGAACTGAGAACCGCTGTTATGCCATGGTTAAAATGAACATGCAGTTTTTTCTTGCGAAAAACCGTTTCCATTAAAAAATTACATAATCACGTTTTGCTACAAAGAAGAATCACAGATGACAAACATTTTGTGGAGCCAGAAAAATTCATTTTTTAGATAATGGCATACACTTAATTGTGTCCAAAAATCAGGACACAATTTTCAATCACTGAAACATTCTGAAAGAGACTTTAAAGCCATAAACAACTTTTTTGTTATAAAATTGTGTGGAACTTCACTACCTATAATATGGATTTTGTTAATATAGAAAAAAAAACAATTTTAACAATTTCCAATACTTAGCCATTAGACAGTTTTAGGCGAACGCACAGAAACATTAACTATTTTTGCCATAAGATTCTTTATAAAATTCACATGTACAAAAAACGATTAAAAATCTAAAAAACATTGGCATGTAAAAAACGTTGTTTGAGTGCTTGATTGAACGAAAAATTCTTTTGGCGGAATGAAAACAATTTCAACATTCGAAGCTCAAACACAAATTGGGAGGTTGTCTTAGGATAACTGGATTACTTTTTTTCAATCGTAAAATGTAAAAACTGAAATCCTTTTCTAGTATAAAATCGATTACAAGTTTAGGTGATTTTTTGTTCCGAACATTGAAAATGGGTCAGAACTTTGAATTTACGGGTGTGTTTCATTAGGAGACAAAACTGTGCACTTTGTGAATTAAAAGATGATTCCGCAAAAAGATGCTCTCTTTGTTCTTCTTTTGTACTTTCATTTTATTCCATCATTCCGACAACGTTTTAACAGGTTTGAAGGCTTGTCTCAGTAATTCAAGAAGATACCGACACAAATAGGGAACCACAAAAAGTCATTGGACCGGGTTGAGTGATCTATCATATTAAAGATCGTTCAACCTTGATTGGAACGACATTTAAAAGTTTCCAAAATACATTCTCAGAGTTGAGAAGAGCCGATTTGAGAATTTAATTTTTTATGTCTAAACTTCAGCGAGTAAAGCGAACTAATTAAGTTCAGATAACTTGTTAAATTGGCCATTTAAGCCAAAAAAATCTACTTTTTTTACTAAGGATTTTACTGATGATTAAATGTTTTTTTTGCACATCAACGTCATGTTTTGTCATGTTTTTGTCATTTTTTACTTCAACGTCATTTATTTTTGTGTGTAAATTTAAAATTGGCACAAACATTGCAGCCAAAATTGGACAATATGTGGTAGATTTGAAGTAAGAGGTCGCGTGAAAGCTCGTACTCACGCACTAACCTTGACATGGTAGGGACTCGATTACCAGTTTGGACGCTCTCGGCTTAAAATTTTACGATAAATCATATTGCCTCTTAACATAGTGATAGGGCGTTTTTTAATCTTCAAAAATAAGTCAAATTATGAACGTATTTTTCTTCTTTGATGGTTGTTCTTTAAAAACAATCAATGAGAGCAAAAAAAAACCACGAAACAAAAAACAAAAACCAATAAAGTAATTTTATTCACTTTTTGAAAGAAAGTGCTATCTGCAATTTCTTTCTAAGAAAAATGCTAAAAACAGCAGTCCATATATAACAAAGTAGCAATCAAACAGTTCCTTTCATAAAAAGCTGATCAGGTTTTATTTAAGTTAATTTTCAGATCTGAAATTCCTTATTTCAGGTCTTGGTAAGAATTTTAAAATTTCAGATCTGAGACAATTTCTAAAACCAAAATTTCAGATCTGAAATTAGATTTGAGAAACAGACCCTTTGTTAAGTTATAATTTATGCATTTCGAGCAAACAATTGAAACTTCGTTTTCTGCTGTTTCTGCCAATACACAATTATATTAAGATTATTAAGTGGTAAAATAAACTTCCGAACAATTACACAAACAGTTTTTTTCTTCAATTAGTTTTTTTTCAATTGTTCCAAAAAACTCGTAAAACATCTTTCAAATTTTTGATTTTCAGGTGACATTTATACGTTTCCGATGTTTATTTCAAGTTTGCGAAGCATTTTTCAGCAGTCTCTGATTAAAGGCTTTGCTGGGTACCTGCTATTAGCTAGCAGAAGCTATACAGAAGTAACTGTGATAGCAAAACTTGTGTCAAAATCATTTAATTTTTCAGATCGTAAATAACCAAGAAAATCGAAATTTCAGAGCTGAAATTAGATCTGAAATAGTTTTTTCAGATCTGAAACAACCAAGAAAAACAACATTTCAGATCTGAGCTAGATCTGAAATTACCCAATCTTAAAGTATCCAAGCGTTATATTAACATTTTACAACCTATTTCAGATCTGAACTTTGGGTCTGAACCAGATTATTTCAGATCTGAATTAAAATATTTACTAGGTACGTGTGATAAGATGTTTATAGTATATGAAAATCGCATGACTGGAAAATTTATCAACACAGTCTGTGAAAAACTTCCTACTCGCACTGTTAAGGTTGAAGCTCTGGCAGAACGGCTTACCCCATTAGCGTTGATGTCTTCACAAAAAGAACAAAAACACAATTTTCTGAGTTTTTTTCAGATACATTGAACAGTATATGTGCAAGAGGATTTCAGGGAAGGCGATGCTGGGACTTTTTTATATGACATTTTTTTAATTAAAAAAAAAAACATTTTTGTGATCTTTGTTTAAACCTAGCATAATTAGTTGTTTTAGCATTTATTTTTGTAATGATGGAACTAACAAAAAAGATAGGCGGGACTTTTAGTGGGAAACATATTTGTACATTTAGCGGGAAACAGTAGGGGCAGCAATTGATGACCTCGAAAAGTATCCCAGGTTACAGGTCCATGAAAGTCCATCCCTGGGACCATCCCTGGAGCCAGGCGTAGCCTGGTGAATAACCACATCAAAGAAGTCTAAGGAGTCTAAGCAACCTAAGAGTCCAGGTCTGACCTTCGTCGTTTTTTATTAAATTTTAAAGTTGCAATTGTTTTTGAACCTGCCCGAGAACAAAACAAACAAAGTCATTCTATCGTGTAAGAAAACCAATATTTTAATTTGCACAATATTGCAGAATAATTGTATTTGTAGATTCAACATTGAAAGTAAATATTTGAATTTTCACATACTTATAATAAAAAAAAATTTTCAATGTGGCTAGATCGCTTCCACCTCAAAAAACGCTTGTGAAATTTTTTTGATGATTTTTGTCATTTTTATGCCTAATTTACCATTTGAAAACAAAAAAAGAACCTTCCAAACATTCATTTTGATTTTTGGTTCTTTTGTGTGAAAAATTAGTCTGGACTACCTCATACGCCAAAAACTTACATTTTTGCGTTCAAACATCTTTATTATTTAAATTGGCTTTCTGAGCGTAAAATGATTAAGCTAAACAACTAAACAAAATTTTTGTAGAAAAATTTCGGTTTCATGGATTTCAGGGAAGGGTACCTAGCAGGAGTCAAGGCCTGGTTTAGGGAATTTTTTCTTAGACTTTCCTTTGAACTCTTTAAAATCCTGGCAGGAGGTCCAGGATTTTTTTTTTCATTTTTTCCTGGCTATGTAATCAGGGAAGCTGATGAAGTTCTGTGAACATGGTTTTTCAGCGGAAAAAGCCCGGCACACGGTTTCAATGCTCTTGCTTGTTATGGAGTTTAGTCGAAAGAATTAATTTTAATAATTCAATTGTGATATTTGGTATTATATGATATGTTTATATATAAAACTTCGAGGTAATAGATGATTTTGTACTTTATTTTTCAAATGTCTGGAAACAGAATCTAGGAAATTCTAGAGAAGGAGGGGGCGGTCAGCCAAAAGACCAAGTTAGGTTGGCCTACTTGGTCTTCTAAGCTCTTATAGACCACTATAAATACCCTATTTTTTAACAAAATTCCTTCGCCGCAGGCAGTATTTTAAAGAGAAAAAAAAACAGGCCAAAATACGGCATTTTTGTTAATTTTTGGAACATTTTGAACAAAAAATTGCGCTTTTGTGGCGCGCACTTCCCCTCAAAATTATTATACGTTGGCACCTTCAGAAAATTTTGAGGTAGGTAAGCCAAAAATGGCAGGTTGTCGAACCCTTGAAGGGGGAAGTCGTACCCCCGCTAAATCCGCTACTGAAACATGGTAAGTAAGCCAATTTTTCATTGAACTTTGACGTGTTTGTAAAATAAATCGAGCAATCAGTCCTTTTTTAATGACCAAAAAACCTTTTTCGATAGAACTTTTTCTAAAGGTTTTGTTTCGTTTGATTTAAGGTCGAATTTCACAAAACATTTTTCTGAGAAAATAGTTCCCCAATTGTGCTTGAAGTTCGTGAGTAAGCAAAAATCTCGACGGAGAAAGAATCTCATTGAATGCTTTTAGGAATCATCGATTCGTAATAAACGCCGATCAATTGCAACTGCTAGAAGATCAGAAAGTTGAAATCCTCATACGTTTCTTCAATTATCCAAAAAAATTTATTTATTTTTTAAATTTTACATTGGAACCAATAGAAATGTGGTGATATGAAATGCCTGATCTGACCTGAGTACTGCGGAACGAGCCATTGGCTTTTTAAATTTAGTTCGAAAGTTTCATATCATTTTTGACTGCCTATAACAAGCTGGACTCGGACAACCGTTTTTTAGGGCAACCTTATTGATTTTTCTGCGCTATCCCAAATTCATATAAATACCTTATTCAGACAAACGTTTCTGCGAGGCAGGCAGGCTAATTTTTCAAAAAACGGGCCAAAAAAGGAATTATTAGGCAGCTTTTTGAAATTTTTAACCAAAAAGTCGCGTTTTTCCGGCACGCGCTTCCCCTCAAAAAAAGAATAGATAGGCACCCAAGGTGCTTTTAGAAATATTAGAAAAGTCAGTCAGCCAAAATTGCATATCTCAAAATAGTACAAAGGGGATCCCCAACAAGCGACCAAAAAATATACCCTCATTTTTTCCGGTGGTATCTGGCATGTTCGGCTGCTGCAGATAAGACGGTTCCATTCTCGTGTTCATGATAGCCTTGCTTGACGATTGCAAACTCTCCAGATTTTTCGTTGGGTTGGGTTCACTCATAGTGCTTTATCAAAAGATAAATATACAAATATGATGATATGATTGAAGTTGTTAAAAACTGAATTCGCTTGAGATCTGAGAGCTTCAATTTTTTTTTGGTTTGCTGATTAACAGTTTTGATTTTCGAGAAGTAAATTTGATTTCTGCAATTTGAGATCTAAATTAACAGGATGTTTGGAACATGATGTTACAAGTTTTATAAAGTCAAATTATTCAAGCGTTTGTCGAAGATGGTAAAAAGAGAAGTAAAAAAAGGAAGCTTACTTTAACTATAGTTTTAAAGGTAAAACTAGCTGGTAACTTTTGTGATATTATGTTGTAAAACAAACTATCGAGATTTTATTTAAAAAATCTTAACCATGGGCGAAAACTAAAATCAAAAGTACGCATAGAAAATGTAAGTCATATCAATAGTCTTTTAAATTGTCATAACAGAACGTGTAAAATTAAATAATACATTAGAAACGTTTTTATTACAATGTTTCTATCATAGCAATGAGTTGATGTGTTTCTTGTACAGACCAATTCGTGTGTTTTTAAACAGTCAAAAGTGAAGCTCTTCACTTAAATCCAATCATTTGAGCAATGTGACATAATCTAACGCCCAGGGTGACCAAAATGTGCAACCATACATTGCACAATTCATGGTTCCATAGAATCAAATAAAAAGTTCCGACGTATACTGATATTAAAATCATATTAATTAAATATTAATTGAAAATTTTATTAATGAAACGACGATTTTGCTCTTAAGAAGTGAATGTCACCATAGACACTTGCAACCTATGGTAAACATTGAAAAATAAATGGCGCGACGTATGTTTACCAAGGAAATTGAATGACGCTTCGTATAAAAACTGGGAAATCGTACAATTTCAGTATTCTCGTGGGCTTCCAAAGACTGCTCTGAACTATTTCAAACATGTTTGTAGGAATAAACATTTCCTCTATTCAAGGCAAAAAATGGATTCCAGACAAAGGAAATTATACCAAAGTGAACAATTTTACCTGATAATGAAGAAAAATTTAAACCCTGATGAGACCGAAAAAATTACTCTGTGACTCATGAAAACTAGTTTTGTCTAAAAGAAAAGGAAACAGGGAACAGTATTAGTACACGTAACAATGAGTAATTATTTAAAAAGCGGATTTTCGCATCACCTGCCATACATCACAAATAGTGCCTACGGATGAACGTTTAAAAGAAATCAATTGATTTCTCAATCAGCAATATAGAATGATGAAATATATCAGTTGTTGATTGTAGCGTTTTATATTGCGATTCATGATCTGTCTCACTGTAGACAGATGATATCATCATTTTAAAAATATGTTAATTTTTCGAAAAGTCTCCCGTATGCTTGTGTGCTTTCTATCGAATAATGACAGTTTTTCATTTAAAAAAATGTTTTCAAACATAGCACCACTTATTTTGCGACGCATGATTTGTACGGTGAAAAAAAAAACTGAACTATGAACGTATCCTGTTCTAAAGATAAGTTTTTTTTTTACTATTTTTTCAGATAACTTTTATTTCCACTGTTTTTCAGTGAATTTTTTTCAAATAAAAACATCGCTTCTATACATAGCACCATAATTATTGCAAGGTAAGAGTTGCTTGGTGAAAGTTTTTATAGTTTACCAGCTGCTTCCATATTGTTATGAAACTGTTCTTATGCTAATTTTGTCAGTGCAAAGGCTATTCTGATGTATCAGTTATGGATCAAAGTAAAATCTTAAACAGGTCAGTTGATTTGATTTAGATGAATCTAAGAAAGTAAACAGGGTTAACTGTGGTTACTCTTACATCAATTGACCCTATACACCTCCTTAATTTTGAAGCAAATAAGTTCTGTTGTTTTAAGGGTGCAATTTTGATTCAAAACTCTGAAAAAAACCATAAAAAAGCTTGTAAAATTTCAAGCTAATTTTGTACCCGTCATCTTTTAGCCAAATATAACGGTTTTCATAAGAATTTTGTTTTAGTTAACTTTATCCGATATTTTTGAAATCAGCGTCCAGTAAACTGATTCGGCACAAAATGCAGTAAAAGTTCAATTAATCGTATGAATATTCGTGAATAAAAATAATTCAAATCGATGAATTGTGTTATCATAATTGCGCAATTTTTTGCTGCCTATTACAAAACAAATCACTGCAAAAATCCAAATATTTGTGAAATGGGAGAGTATTTGTGAAAAAACACATTTGGAAACACCATCTAGACAAGTTTTAGTAGAAGATCAGTTTTTAAACAGCAAACAAAATAAGATAAATTGCCAAGTTTATATCATTATTTACCAAAAAAAACTAAAAGTAATTTAACAGATAACATCCTCGTTCAGCAGTACAATAAGTTTGAAAAGATATAAAAATTTAAAAAATAATTTTTTTTTCTTGAAACGAAGTAATGGAAACACAAAACTTGAGACAGATGCGATACAAAAATTACAGTATGACTGCACCATGAGGCTTGAAAAATTAGCAAACAGAACCTCGAGCAACGTTACTGTTGAAAAGTAAGTGGAAAAACGATTGAAAAATTTTTTTTAAAAAAACATAATCGAGTTTTTTTTAGGTTTTCAAACAGTTTCTAGTGGAGTTGAATACTGGCTTTCAAAAATTGGGGTCGGTGTCTGTGGTGCACAATTTTATAACATTCTTTTATCCGCTCAGATTTGAGAGGGTAGTTTTCGAGAACTAAAGTCAAAATGTTTCAAAAACCGGTCAAAAAATCAACAATTTGGCATCTCTGAGGGCCATACTTTCCAGTATAAAAACAATTGGGAGTAAGTTCTGATTCAGGGCAGCTTTTTTTGACTCGTTCTCTCTATTGAACTAAAAATTTCAGACTTGGGAGGGTAGTTTTGAAGAAAAGTCTAAAAACTTCGAAAGTTGGTAAAAAAAAATCTAAAGTTAGACTTTTCCGAATGCGACAAATTCTTTTGTAAACAAATTGGTCCGAGCCGTTTATGCAAGGAGGTTTGACAAAACCTTTTCTCCCCATTAATCCCATGAGCTCAGGTTTAGAAGAAGTTAAATTAAATAAGCAGATTACATCTGCGATCTGCAGTACAATAGGTTTAAAAAGAAATTTTAGTTAAAACAAAATGATGGAGAAACAACACATAAGACAGATGCGAAAAACAATTACAAGATGAGTGCACAATGACCCTAAAAAAATTAGCAAACAGAACTTTGAACACTGTTACTATTAAAAATGAAGTTGAAAAACAATTTTAAAAAATAGAAAAACAAAACACAATTGAATATATTTGTTTTTTATTTGTATTTATTAAGTCCTAGTGGGGTTGAATATTGGCATACAAAAATTGGTGTCAGTGTCTTATCAATCTCAAAACTACTACACTTTAAGAAAAAAAATTGATAAATAAGCCGACAGAATCGATGCCGACATCCAATAAGCTGATAGTCAGCCGAAACTTTAGTAAAAAAAAACATGTTGGAAAATTTTCAAGTTGAGCCCACATAGGATCAATGATAGAAATTCTAGTAGCGTATGCAAAGCAGATTAGAGAACAGCTGAAGCTGGAAGCACTTGTGTGATAATTTCTAGGAATACGTACTGATGCAAAAACGGGCAACATAGGAAATCAACACCAACAAAACTTAGACAAATCACAAGTTGATCGCTTATGTTCAACTAATACAAAAAAGTCAACAAATTTACTTTTATATTTAATTAAAAAAAAACGGGTTTTATGTCCAAATTTTATGCGAAGTACAGTTTTTATTGCATATTTTTGGGAGGATTTAGGAGGGTAGTTTTTGAGAACTAAAGTCAAAAAGTTTCAAATACCGGTCAAAAGGGCCATACCTTCCAGTATAAAAACAATTGGGTGTAAGTTCAAATGTGAGTATAAGTGAGTATGCCTTCTTGCAGTATAATTGGATGTGAGAGCTTCCCACGACTCCTTCTCTTTTTTGAACCAAAAATCTCAGATTTGAGAGTGTAGTTTTCGAGAATAGTCAAAAATTTTCAAAGGTGGGTCGAAACTTCAGAAGTTTGACTTTTCCGAGTGCCATAAATTCTTGGGGCAGCAAATTGGGCGAAGCCGTTTATGCACGGAGGTTTCACATAAGCTGTTCTCTCCATTAATCTCATGAACTCAGAATTTTTTAGTTTTCGATAAAAGTCGAAAAATTTGAAAAAACTATCCAAAAATCAAAGTTTTGGTTTTTTCGAGGGCCATTCAATTTGGTATTGGAAAAATTAGGAGTACCAGCTTATTCAAGGGAGCTTAAAGCAACATGCTCTATCCATTGAACCCAAAATGTTCAGGTTTGTGTGGGTAGTTTGAAAATAAAAAATCGAAAACTTGACTTTTCCGACACCCTTAATTTACGGCGTCAAAACTTTTGACGTAGTCGATAATGCACGAAAGTTTTTAGAAACCCACATTTTCGAGTTTTCCCAGGGTCATAACTTTTTGTTTAAAAAATTGTGCTTAGCCGCTCATTGTGGGGAGCTTCTCATAACCTGTTCTATTCTTTGAACACAAAATCACAGATCTGTGAGGGTGGTTTTCGATAAAATGTTTAAAACTTTATGGTTCAAAAATTCCCCACACGTTTTTACGAAGTATGTAGAAATTGACGAAGGGTAAAAAGAGACTAGGGGATTATGCAGGCACACAGGGGAAGACCAATACATGCCAAAAACTGTATAAAGTCCGAATCCTTTCATTTCCATAATACCTGATTTATCAAACATGAACTAGATAATTTGGAAACTTGTAGGTATTATGCTAAACCCATCTGTGATTTTGAATATTTTAGGTTTTTAGGGGCATTACTCTTCCTTCAAAAAACTGTGCGTAGCCGGTTATGAAAGGGAGCTTCCAATAACCTGTTTTATCCATTGAACCCAAAATCGCAGATATGTGAGGGTAGTTTTCGATAAAATGTAGAAAAAAAATGTTCCTAAATTCCCTCACCGATTTTTGTCTCTACATGTCTGTAGAAAGTGAAGTAAGGTA